GAAGCTAAGCAGGTGTGAGCCTGGTCAGTACCTGGATGGAAGACTTCCTGGAAAAAACTTAGGTTGCTGCTGGAAGAGGTGTTAGTGGGGCCAGCAGGGGATACTCACCCTGAGGTCTATGTGGGTCCTAATGCCCCAGTATAGTGACGGGGACACTATACTGTAAACAGGCGCCGTCCTTCGGATGAGACGTAAAACCGAGGTCCTGACTCTCCGTGGTCATTAAAAATCCCTCGAAAAGAGTAGGGTTATAAACCCGGTGTCCTGGCCAAATTCCCCATTGGCCCTTATCAATCATGGCCTCCTAATAATCCCCATCTATGAACTAGGCTTCATCACATTCTCCTTCCCACTGGTAGCTGATGTGTGGTCAGTGTTTTGGCGCACTATGGCTGCCGTCGCATCTTCCAGGTGGGGCTCACACTGGTGGTGGAGGGGAGTTCCCATTACATGTAAAGCGCTCTGAGTGGAGTTTCCAGAAAAGTGCTATATACAGTAAGTGTAAGCAATTATTATTTTTATATTTAAAGGAAATACAGGAGATTTAGCTGATATTTTTATGGTTTGCTTTGTATAAGATCTGAGACATTAGTGTGAGTAATTATTTAATGTGTAAAATTAGTCCAGAAGTCCACACTGCTGGAACAGATTGGTGATACCAACTAGCTCAACCAACTAAGAGATTGTAGATGTTCTCAAAATTCTGTGTAAACATGTCCAATTATAACAAGCCACTATTAAATGGTACTGATACATTGATACCTGCCTGCTTGTTATTAGCTTTGAGGAATGCTATAACCTTTGATATAATGCTATTGTGTAAATAAAGTGTCGGGCCATTTTAGAAGTGGAGACACCGTGCTGCAGGAATATTTTAAATGAAACTTTGATGTCCATCTGCTTCAATGTAATCCCTTTGGCTTCAGTGCATTTCGTGAGGGTTGATGAGATTTTAAGTTCCCTGATTAAAATTTATGTGATGCAAGGAATTGAAGCAGACGCCAGGCAATCCACCAAATCAATGAAAAGCAAATGACCACTGTGAAGGCCTGGATTAAAGTTTCTTTAGGACTGTAAGCCTTACTGAGACTACTGCATGGCAGCTCTGTTTTCCTTAATACGTACAGTAAGTCTATATAACTTCATTTTTGCAATCAGACTAAAAGGAGTTTCACTCTTTCTTTAAATTCCAAAATTGTAGTTAATAGTCACATGAAGGATCTGTGTCTGTGCACTTGGGAAGGGCTTATGAGTGTAAAAATACCATACACGTGTGCTCATTTCTGGGTATCTGTGACTGCATAAAATAGTTTGTTTTCAATACTTTCAGTGATATGAAAGCCCATTCAGCAAAATAATTGCCTTTTATTCTAATTCCATGTGGAGTCACCCATCAATCATTATTTGTGGATAATAGTCAGAAAGGTTCTGTAATACCCCTTCCAAAAATTACAAATACAGTCACTTTTTAAATTCTTCAACCTGTTGGACACTTTATCTAACAAGCTCATCAGAAGATTGTGTAGCTATTGCACATTATCAATTGGATGCAAGGCCTCTACCATTTTTGTTTAAAAGTTCTAACAGCTGTTAATCACACTATTGTAGTTGAGAAGGAAAAAGTCAGAAAAGGACGGAAAGCTGACAAAATGCTCTTTGAAGCACAGGAGAGTCTCCTGGACAAAAAAAGATATACCATAAAGTATGTATTTAATTTGTGCAGCTGCAGTTTCTGTAGCAAAATAAAAAAAACTACAGTACTCAATATTTGAACTTGTAAAATGTAGACTTACATTGTTACATTGAGAACCTCAAGATATTTATTTTTTTGTAGAAATCTGCATTGGATTGTATTAATAAACTGGATAAAGTTTTTGATTGTATTGTGGATCATATGAGAAAAACACATGGTAGAAAGCATTAACATTGTCAGTTTTATATAACTTAATGACGGAAGGATCTATAAAAATCTTCAGTGATTCTGTGCTTCAGTATCTCTTCAGCAATTGAAAATGTTTATTTTGTAGATATAATAAATTAAAATAATATATTATAAATTAAATCTGTATAGTACTGAGTATATTTACAAACTAAGTAATTGAGTAATAGTCCAAACCTGTTTTTTTTTTATTAAGGGCACCACAAAATTTGAACATTAGGGAATTGTCTTTATTGGGGACTTTGAGACTCCTCATTAGCCATGATCACTGGCACACTGAGCCACCAAGTTTCTGAAAGAGTTCCTCAATATAGGGTTTCACGACTAACAAGAAGAGTTTGTGGTTATTGTAGATTTTGTGATGTAATTAACAATCTAGTTAATATCCAAAAATGCTTTTAGTCTAAGATCAGTGAGTGAGCAAGCTAGCCAGGAAGGAACTGGTATGATGTGAATTGATTAAAAGCTTTCTGTAGTCAAAAGAGTAATGTTACTTGCCACGACTGAAAGCTTGTAGACCTTGAAGATGTTTGATAATGATCTCTGCAGCGCCAGTCAAACCGTCAGTGAGGTAGTCCTGTCCATTAGCACCTCCTCCAGTGACACAAATAGGTGTTGGATGATAGAGGAAGTATCAGCACTGCACCATCACACTTGCTTCAACTCATCTGACTAGCGGTGGTAACAGCCAGGCCCTGCCTGTCTGTTGCAAACACTCACGTAGTCATACAGCAGGAGTGCAATGTTTTCCCAGTGTCATGTGCTGACAGCCTGGCATGGCATTCCTAGTGCCCTTTCTGGATCCTCTGGTGTTAGGCTTGGCATCAGGATGCTGTCTTATAGTCTGAAATGTAAAAATGTCATGCCCCTTCATGAATGTTATGTACTTCTGTTTACAACAAAAATACCTTTTGGTTTCAATGATATCTGACCAGTATATTTTAAATTGACATCACTTTCTAAACTTTATTTACCCATCCATATCTGGAGGTTGGTATTTGTCATCTTCTAAAGCAGTTTTGCTCCTGAAGGATTGGTGTGTCTGCAGTTTGTATAGGTTTCTTCAAAGCAGTGCACCTAAGAAGCTGGGAGAAGCTGTTAAATTGGTCCATGAGGCCAATCGTATTAGCTGATTGAGCTTTTAAAAAACTGGGTTGGATTGAAAACCTGCAGACTCACTGGCCTTTAAGAACTAGGATTGCCCACACATGTTCTAATGGAAGTTGGAGAAGACTGACAGTTGGGGACTAACAGGAGTTGTACTTTTCCATTTTAACATATTAACACCACAGTGGTTAATAACCCTGTTAACTACAATACTGTTCATCTTGGCTTTGAGGAACCACAGTGTCATCTGGGTTTCGCTCTTGAAACGTTCTTAATCAAAGCCAAATTGATTTTAATTTTTCTCTTTTCCATACTGTATGCTGTAGGTGATTACAGTTTATAAATTTAACCCTCAACTCTTAAAACGTTATATGACATTCAGAAATAACCACGTGCCTATATTTGAGTTTCAGAACTCCCCTCATCTACTGTAGGTGTGTTATCTGAAATTTTAAGCAATTGGACTAATTCTCAAATTGCACATGGTAGGCGTTCCGGGAAATAGTAGTGTTTGGATCGAGAATTGCTTAATAAACAAATAAACAAAGTGTAAAAAGAAGTGACAGTGCTCTAATTGCAGTGATGGAAGTAGTGGAGTACTGTACTCTCTAGCAAAAGTAAAAAAAAACACTCTGGGAGTATTTAATATAAAAGACAAATACTTTTTCGTCAAAAATAAGGGATAAATTCGAAAGCGTAATGTAATGAGAAACTGCATAATATTGCTTATGCTGGAGTCATTAGAGGGATTATACTTTTATTACAATATTTTTTAAACCAAGGACTGACTGCAGAAAAAAAGTCCAAATGACCAAGAAATATGTTGACTTTTCAATTTTCAATACTTGTTTTAGGTCCCCTTGTAGTCCCCTCTGTTCAATACTAAAAGGTTCAGTCAGTAGGGCATTCTTTTAAGTACCAGAATGCATCTGGGTGCCCTTCTCTGGACTGATACCAGAGGAGCAAATTGGTAATGAAAAAAGGTAATTACTAGTTCATCATGTAATTATACTTGATTTACTGTAAGTATAAATCACGTTTGATTATATATCCTAACAGTTTTTATATTCTTTTCAACAGTTTTATATATGCTAACTTTTTTCTTGTTTCCCCACTTTGTCTTCATGATGTAAAGTATTTGTCAAAATAAACAGCTGTTATTATCATAAGCAGTCTCTTCACATCATCTGCCTGATGTTTCCACAGTCTTGAATTTCATCTACTTTAAAATTTTGTTCCTTGCTTTTACAGTGTTTGCTAATTCTCCTCTTTTCGTATTTTGGTATCTGGTAACTTTAGTGTTGTCCTAACAATAACAGAACCGTGACTGTTGTAAAAAGTAAAAGCTTGTTACTTTTAGACAAAAAGTGCCATTTAGATATTGTTACTGATTTCCTTTGCAGCTTTTTGAATTAGAAAAAGGTCCAATTAGGTTGTGAAACTAAACATGTTTGCAAAAGGAAGCAGTTCATAACATGTAAGTAAGCAGCATCTTATTTTAATAAAGAGATATTCACCACTAAGACAACAGAAAGTCATTTTTTGTGTAATGACCAGGCATTAGTCTGAAACTCATACACTCTTGACCAGCTGTAGACCTCCCAGTAATCAGTCTGACAATAAATCATTTTAGAAGTACTTACCACTTCCCTAATAACCCATGTCATATCTGTCAATGTGGATTAAAGTTTAATCACCTAGTGGAAATATGGATATTTAGCTTAATCACCTCCTCAAAAGTGAGATAACAAGCAGAAGTGCGAGACATTATTATGGTAATGAGTGAGTGTGTGCATTGTGTGCTAGTTTGTAGCCTGGGGTGGGGGGGGCTGTTATTCTTTAGGAAAAACAAAGCTTAACAATCCAACAATCCTCTGGGTCAAAGATACTTTACTTAGTCCAAGAATTAATGGAATTAATTACATAGCTTATTTTTAACTTGTTTGTTTTGTAGGAGATGTCCTGATGGAGCTGTTTGTCTAAAGATAGGAAAAAACCCAGACTATGGCTACACCAGCTTTGACACTTTTGGCTGGGCGTTTCTTGCTTTGTTTCGTCTCATGACCCAAGATTACTGGGAAAATCTCTATCACCAGGTAAACTGATTCCCTTTGTGTTACAGCTTAGGTCATAATCAATATAATAATTGGGGTGGGAAGTGGCTTACAGTGCTGGGGCCCTGGATTCAGTTCTGGATCTGGGGTGCTGCCTGTGTGGAATGTTTACAGTACATGTACTGTATGTTCACCCTGTGTTCACATGGGTTTCCTCCGAGTGTTCAGGTTTCCTTCCACAGTCCAAAGACATACTGGTGGTTTAACTTACTTGGCTGTGGTGTGTGTGTGTGTGTGTGTGTGTGTGTGTGTGTGTGTGTGTGTGCCCTGAGATGGACTGGTGTCTTGTCCAGGGCATATCCTACCTCTTGCTCCTCTTGCTTGCCAGGAGAGGCTCCAGCTCTCTCGCAAACCTGAATTGGATAAAGTGGTTAGAAAATGGTTTTATGGATATTTAATAATATTAGCAGGAATACATAATTAAGATTTTACAATTTCATTATGTCATTATTCCTTAAACCAAATTAATATCCATTACACACATAAATCGTATTTAGTGATCATATCAATTCAAATTGAAATGCTGTTCGTATTTCAATTGCAATGGAGTTCAGATTACTGTCTTGTGAAAATACAAATTAATTTTGGGGTTTCTGTAACAAAACTTAAAAACTTGATTTCTGAAATGAACAGAAATCCATGTGAGACACAGTCCAATAATTAATTACATAATAACTTAAATAAACTTGTTTAAATGCCATACTACTATTAATTATAGTATCTATAGTTACATTTCTAAACACTTTTGTTAAATAGTGTAAGTCTAAATAACTCTTAGCCTTTTCTGCGTATTAAGTTACTCATTCAAATGAGATCAGGTTAGACAAAGAGTATCTGGCATTATGTTCTGATATTGAACTGGGAAAATGTGTCTCCAACAGGAATAAAACACAAAGTTGCTCAAATATGATTGCGTTCAGAACATGCAATATTGATGAGAGCATCATCAGAAAAATGGCAAAAGATAGTTCTCTTATATATTTGTTGAGCTTTATTTTTTAAAGCCCCAGCAATGGGTTTTAGTTTGAGGGGTGTTTAAAGAGAGAGAAAGGAATGTGAATTTCACACAATTTACTGAGGCACTTTAATCCCTTTCTGATTACGAGCATCAGTAGGCAGCCTAAGCAGTAAAGTCTGCACCTGTTTCACTCACTGCAATTCCTCCTGACCTTAGACTCTCCGATCTGTGGGCAAGACCTACATGATATTTTTCGTGCTGGTGATCTTCTTGGGCTCGTTCTACCTCATCAACTTGATCCTGGCAGTGGTGGCCATGGCTTACGAGGAGCAGAATCAGGCCACCATTGCTGAAGCTTGGCAAAAAGAAAAGGAATTCCAGGAAGCGATGGAGCAGCTCCGAAAGGAACAGCAGGTCGGCCTGTGACCCACATTCCACTCTAAGCAAATTATCAGAATGTGACAACAGACGAATGTTTCTGCAATATTTTTTTTTGGGGGGGGGGGGCAGTTTTATCATCACTGCATTAGACTCATCTTAGATGCTTTGGTATACAGTATCTGTCTTAAAATTTATTAGAAGACACATTCTAATATTAATTTGTGACTATCAAAAACCATCTTGGTTGTCTTTCAGTTGTGTATTATATTTTAGACTTAAGAGTTTATCCAGAATGTCAATGTCAATAGGGATTTGGCTGCCAAGAGTGTCCTTGCTGTCTTGATGTGTTTCTGAGTTGAGGATGCATTGGATTTTGCAGTTGTGCAGCTATTCATACAGTATATGGCAACTCAAGTTATTTCCTTCACCTAAAATTGTTTTAGCATTAATAAACATTTGTGACTTATTATATACGTATAATATATACAAATAATATAGTATATTGCCTTTTTGGAATTCATATTAGCATGCAAATGTTAAGAAATATACTCATTCCCCTGGTTACAGAGGAGTTTCTCTTGACTTAACCCAAATTTTACGTAAGTCAGATGTGGCAATTTGTGTAGATACAGATAGAGAATGACCATTTATGATATTCCAGCTATCCTCTCTTGGTTACTGCAGATGTTATATGAGTGAGAAAGGAGGGACAGTAGAGCAGAACTGCAGACTCACCAGGGTCTATTATAATTTATTGGTTAACAGGTGTGTGTGCTCATCATTGAGGGGTTAGAGAGCAAGAGAGAGAACACAGTCACAGCTAGCAGTCCCTGAGGTAGAGACACGGGAAGGAAAATGTCCCGTGTATATAGAGGGAGAGTAAGGAGAAAAAAACAATAAAACCCTTTATTCAAAATAATTAAATCCAAATACACCATAGACTTAAAACAGAATAAAAAGAATAATTTATAAAAATTGTACATTTCTTTACACTATACAATTCAGTATTTAAACACAAAATAAAATGCACAGTAAATTATAAGAATAACAGTATCACTTGGTTGCTTCTCTGATTATGGACTACTCCCAATAAGCGCAAGACAATATGCATATAGTACTTTACCATACAAACTGGAAAGCAATACCGAAGTGTAAAACAGAGCTCTGGTGGAGACGCAGTTCGCTCATTCTGCACTATTCATCTGCGGAAGGAACTTGCTGCACTACTTACTCTTTACACATGTAATATAAACTCTCCTTACCTCAAAAATTTTATTGTGGGGTCCACAGACGATCTTACATAAAGCAGAATTTAGAAAACTGAGTCTTTTGTAACTTGCGGAGGTGGTGTAATAGCATTTTTGCTTTCACATCTTAAAGATCTAAAACATTGAATGTCAGAACTGTATATTTTTATAATAATATACTTTCAGTACATATTATATTTAGAATAAGTAATAGGTTTATTCCATGCTGGAAAAAAGAAGAAAGAGAACACAACGTTTCGGCTGTGGAGCCTTCTTCAGGTGTGAGCGTGTGAGTGTGACCTCACACCTGAAGAAGGCTCCACAGCCGTAACGTTGTGTTCTCTTTCTTCTTTTTTTCAACATGGAATAAACCTATTACTTGTTCCTTTGCAGCCTACGCATGCTGACGCAGCTACCCACCTGAACTACGTCCTTATATTTAGAATGCCATGTTAATCTAGGTTAATCCATAATATAATGTAACTGGAAGTAAATGAGAAAGACTGCTGATGTTTCAAGAAGTGTCAGAGATAATTTATCCATTTGGAAATAATATGACTATATTAGTCTTAAAAAAACATTTTTTAAAAAAAAAGTGGTACATTAATCAAGTCTATCTTGAAAAACACTTTTCCTGATTAGCTATTGTAGACAAATTCCTTCATGCACTTTCCAAGATTTAATATCTAATATAAAAACTGAACATTTTTTTAATGCAGACTTGTACAATATGATTGTTCTCCTACTTTCAGGCAATTGTGAACAAAGTTCAGGAGACAGACTCAGTCCTGTCACCTGAAATGTCCCCGTTTCCTATGAAAGACACTAAGGAAAGACGGAACAGAAAAAAAAAGCATAAGACGTTATCAGAGGGGGCCGAAGATGATGCAGAAGATAAAACAGCAAAGCAGGACACTGAAGATAGGCAGAGGGTAAAATTCACATTACTTGAGAAACAACATGAATGATTGATCTGTATCAATGTAAAAGTCCCAGGGCAAAGGTATATTATTGATCAGATTAAAACCATTTCTGCATTATTTAAGTACAGTGATATTACTTGCATGTACAGTAGATGCAATTAAGTTTTAATCTATTTTTTTCTATTTTATGTCTATATTTAACTTTTATTTAATATTAGTTTATTTCTGATTGGTTATGTGCACTGGCATAACTTCTAAGAGAATTTTGATAATTATGGCATGAGAATGCTTATTGTACATGTAAATGTATTTTATGCTTATAAAAATGAAAGGTCTATTGATATGTCTAAGATACACCAAATGCATGGAAATCTGTATGGTATACAGCAGGTGCACAATCTTTGGAAACCTAAAAAAATAATTTATTGTATTAGGATTGTGGATGTGATTTTAACAGAACCATCTTTTGAATACTTCTACAAAAATAACATACACTCTAGGTAAATGACAGGTTAATGTTTCAAACAAAATGGATTCTAGTTTTTTTCTGTTGTGGGACAGAACACTGTTTTATGAACTTGAACATCTCCAAATGTAGAAATGCTCATGGACATCTTACTTACAAGGGTTGAAGGTATTGTCATATAAGCATGCCTGCCAATGTGAATATCTGTACCTCATTTTAGTAAAGTCATTTTCATATAAAAAAATAGAAACACCTGGCGATATGGTCACACTCCTTTACTACTATTGCTATGCTGTATACTATTGCTGATAGCAATAGTTCCTAGTCATTTAGACTCCCCTTGCTTCTCTGATAATTACAAAGCTGTCCTGTGGGTGTTATAGAAGAAATCTTGTCTCAAAATGTGCCCTGGCAATCAACATGTCAAATAGCTTTGCTATTTTTAAAACTTACTCCATTATTGTGTTTTCTTGCTAACAATGGAAGTCAGTTTTTCACATGTAAGAATTGCAAAAAAAAAAATGAACTGAAACAAATGCTAGACTGAGACTAAGACTGAATACAACCCCAAGGGAGTGCTTTCTAATATCTTCTTTTTTGTATCAGGGTAATGTCTTTCTTGCTCGGACACTCTCCTCTGCCAATCGAAGGGAGAGCCAGTGTAGCATCTTCAACTTTCGGTCCCGAAATAAAGAATCAGAGACAGATTTTGCAGATGATGAATGCAGTGCAAATGGAGACAATGCGAGTCGCACTGGGTCCCTTGTCATTCCTTGGTCTAGAAGGCGAACTAGTGCCCACAGCACAAGTAGCCACTGTTCCCAAGGCAACACTCCCACTCTGAATATCAACGGAAAGCTGAATATCACAGTAGATCGGAATGGAGTTTCTTCTTTGGGACCTCCTTCTGCTTTAACATTGCCTGTAGTTATGGTGGATAAAGTTAACACAGAAGACCACGTGAGTACCACATGAATTTCCTTTAAACTTTGTCATGTGAAACTTTGTTTATTTTGTAGCACTGTCTGCACTTGTGGTTTTCAATGTGTTGGTAAATCCTGAAAATTCATATTCCTACAATGTGGACTTGCTGTAATAGATTATTTTGGTACACGTTTTTTTTTTTTTAATAATAATAACATAGTTATTATAGAGCTCTAAGCCTTCTGGGTGTTAAACAGTTCACTTGTGTTCCCTTTGGATTGATGGACTACTTCATTTTATTAGATCTTTTTCTCATTGTTCTCATTACATCCTAATACTGCATTTTATAAAGTGGTTCTGAGTTCCGCTTTATTTTTTTCAAAGTCAAAAGAAAGAGCATAAAAGACTGAGAGAGGTATACTGTATGAAGAATATTTTTTTTCCTGGTACTCTATTACTTCTCTGGTACATTTTCTTGCAGTCAGCTTTAATGCAGTCAGTTTTTTTTTTCTTTTTTGGGATTTTGAAACAGGCATTATTTGTGACCCTGAGTTATTTGCGAGCTGCGCTCCATCAAGCCATTAATAATTATTGTGAAGGGTTTATTTCAGTGTAGTAGGGACATAAACCTTCTCCCTTAGTGCTTGTAGTTAAATAAGACATAACATGATGATGAGTTCCAAGCTTCTCCAAAACAGTTTCCTTGTCTTCAGCACGTGCATCTTCATCACTTTTGTACATTGCAGACTGCTCCAAACAGTATCTGATACTGTACCTTGTTGCACAGTTGAATGGAAAAGCATCCTTCAGACTAATGCAGTTGAATAAGGTAAAATGGTACAGTGCATATGGAGCTGAACTGTAGAAGTAACACATCAAGATTCTGTTATTGGAAGTTCTTTTTAAAAGACTGGTGCATTATTGCCAAATTTCCTCCCTTGGAAAATCTTATTGGTAAATTAAACAATGTATTGCAATCTGTAGCTCATTTATTTAATTAATTTAAATGCTTTAAATAAACCTTGTCTTTGGGATATGTTCATTTTAATGCTGCAAGATACAGTGCCCTTCAAAAGTATTAGAATGGTGAAGTCAAAACTGAGAATTAGTTAATATGAACATAATAATAATAATAATAATAATAATAATATATTCTCTTTAATATCAAAATACATGACAGATAAGTACAGTACAGCTCTTAAGTACAGTAGGGTAGTTGACATCTGTAACATTCGCAAATTCGCTTACTCACAATTCGGGCGGGGTGACAGGGTTTTCTATGGAAGATGAGCAGTGCGAGGTGAAACCAAGCCAAAGGTTATAAAGCAAAGCTTTTGTTGTTTTGTTGTTTTTGTTGTTTGTTGTTGACAAATCTCCATGTCCCCAACCCAAGCACCCACTTCCAAGTATTGACATCTCAGCGTTGTCTGGTTTTATATTTTATTGAACACTCCCCAGTTTGTCAGTGGTGTGGAAAATGCCAAGCTGGAGAAAACTTCATAAGTTGAGTGGCAGATGTATTGCCTTTTCCGTTACATTATTGTGTGCATATCACAGAGCAGTGAAATGACTTGAAAATGCAGGTATCTCTTGGATGTGAAATGAGGGATTCATGTTGTTTATTTCTGCTGATTACCATAAGTTTGTGATTACTGTTGTTTCTTTCAGTTGATCAATGTCATTTTATTACCAGTGTTGTCAGCAATTAAATGCTTTGTCCGTGAGCTCGTTTAGAGGGATAGAAGAGTAGAAGGACAGGAATTTCTAGGGATTAGATTAACTAAAAGAAAAAATAATTAGGAGACAATAATTTACAAAACTGCAATTTACAATACAATTTACATCTTGTGCAAAAATAACACAAGGATAGGAGGTATTTAGGTATTCAATTAAACAAAATGAATGCTGAATATTAGTATTTAAAATTAGCAAAAGTAATGCAACAATAAGATCACAGGAGTCTCTTGGTCAAGTTATTAGACATCCAAGGAACATCCTATGTTCCTACACCCTAACCTGTCTCAATTTGACTTCAGTACTCGGAGTCTTTAGACAAAAGTTGAAATTACATCTCTGACAAAGAAAAACAAGCATTGTGGAAGTTCAAATAAAAGACAAACTCAATCATAACCATACTACAGAAATTGAACATTGGACATACCAAAATCAACAATCTGTAATATACTAAAGAAGTAAAACAACACAGTTGTCATGGAAAGAGGCAAGGAGAGTGGGGATGAGTGTATCAAAATCTACAAAGGTGTATACTGCAAGGTGTAAAACTCTCATCACCACCAAGAAAAAACATTCTAGAAAAAAGAAAGATATTTTACCCAGAAGTACTAAAATGAGCCAGGAGAGAGAAGAGTTTTGGAATACAGTTAAATGAAAAGTTTAAGATAGGGAGACAGAAGAACTGCAGTTGTGCTAAAAAGCAACACATGTACAGTATGTCAACCTCTGGAACTGGCTCATTCATCTTTATTGATGATGCACAGTAGGTAATGATTGAAGGAACATAATTAATTCTAGAGTTTACAGAAACATTTTGCCTGCCTACATAGGAGAGAAGGCATACATATTTAATTTAGGCAAAACTTTGCCTTGCAGCATAACAACGACCCACAACATAAGGCTAATGCAATGAAAGGGAGGAAAATAAAATTGTGAAAAATCTTACGCTGACCAGGTCAATCTCCAGATTTAATGTTAATTGGTCATATTAATTTCATGAACACAAATACAAATTCTTTGTCTTTAAAGTAAAAATCACAATGTGTCTCAATACTATAGGAGAACACTGTATATTTGTATCAGATTCCTTTCAGGAATTCCAATTTTAATATAACTATTAGTACAGACTGCTTAAGTCTTTCGTAAAAGTTGTATCACTTGGAAACGGGCCATATTGACCTTAATTCTTAGTGGTAGTGCAGCAGAGTATGGTTGTGATTCACTGGCTAAAGGCAATCAATAGTTGGCACTTGTGGTATGTTAGAAGTTGATTGCTTCATTTAATCTTTCTCTCTACTGTGCATCTTTAAATCCACTTACTGTACATGGACTATTATTATGGAATTATATAACTTAAAGGGAAATTTTTATAGCTGCAAATAAAAACAACAAAAGTATAACTTCTCTGAATGTCATGCATAATATACAGTTATAATTATAAATATATTATACATTATACCTTATATACATACAGTAGCTGGTAGTGATAGCTAAAAATAATTTTAGAAAAGTACACAACAGTATTCCGCCTTTTTTATAAACGTTTTCTGCATCAAAGACTTTAACTCAGTCATGTAAATGTCTCATAATACTGTAGGTATATATTGTGTAAAATACAGTATATACAGTATAAACAGTACAACATATACTGTACATAATACAGTAGGTATCCTGAAAATGTCTGTAAATGTTATAATGATTTTATATACTTTGGCAGCACATTCATTTTCAAACACAGATGATTGCTCATGTTTGCAGCT